AAGATAACAGTATACATTATGTGAATGAAAGGAACATGCAGGAATTTTTAAAAAACACTGCACATTCCAAAATTCTGCTGGAAGAATAAACTCTCAAATCAGAAAATCAGTGTGTTAAATTTTCTCAGAAAACATCAATAATTTCTTTAAAGTACTATTGTTAACACTAATCTGTTATTTCAATGAAGTGAAATACTTTCAAAAGTGCTAAAAGATTTACCAGTAGCTATAAATTACATAAATTTTTCAATGCAATGAGATGTATTTTTAAGAAAATATACACTCAGACCAATCCAGAACTGGATTACATCCATATTTTTAAGATAATGTATTATGCTTTAAAGGCACAGTTATATGCAACTTGACCATTTTTGAGTTTTTATCTTTTGAGGTGAAGACATGCTTAATTATTAAGAATAATGATTTTTAAGAAAATAAAAACTAAAAAGATCATTTTTCAAGGTGTCTGAAAAAGTTTTGACTTTTTTAAAGTTGGGATCAATAGTGCCCTTCTCTTGATGCCAACTTTATTACTCTTTTTCACTTTATAACTTCTATTTATACTGAGTCCTTTGGGTCCTAAACTTTTTTTCTGCATGTCTAGCTGCTTGTTATAAAACCTTTCTCTTTCAGTACTTTGACAGCACATCAACCAACAAATCTCACTTGTGACAAACTCTAATGATTGAAGCACATATCTTGATTCCTCTCAGTACCTCAACACATTTCTGATTCAATACAGACTTTACTGTTATTAGCTCATCTTGCCTTTTACTGTCTCTTTTCATCCATCAAGCATAAAATACGTGTCACTTCTACAATCATCAGATTGGAAAAGCTGGAGGGGAGGGTGCATGGGGCAAGAAAGAAATGTTATCTTTAGTTTCTATCCTAACTTTTTAATATACTGGCTTAGCAAATATATTTTTTAAATTGATCAGTTAATTTTATTATTACTTGTGAAAACTAGGAAATTAAAATTTTCTTGTAAAATGACCCACCATTAGACCTGTGTCTTAACCAAATATTGGAACAGCTAGCATAGCAACTCTGTACTTCTGAATGTCCTTATACACCTTTTCTGGTAGATTTTACAGCTCATCAGGGTCAATATTTCTTTTACAGTACAGTTGCATCAAACATGACAGTTACAACAACCCCAGCTTTAAAGAAGGTCATAAGCAGAATGATTTCAGTTCAAGCAATTACACTGGACATTTAGCCATTTTATTATTAATTGGGTTTTTTTCTTCTCTGTTTTAATATTATATTGACACTGAACTATATGCAGCCATGTCAGTTCTGTTCTGTACTTGTATATAAACACTGAACTAACATTAAACATGATTTGAAGGGGCAGAGTATTTACACATGAATGTTTCAAGGAAAGAAGAGATGCTGAAGGATGTTTGATGGTTTAAGCTTTTAATAGCTATTCTCAATGTCTATCTGATAGGAAGAGTTGAGCTGGACAGAAGTCCATGAGTCTACCAGGACAAACCCAGCAAACTATAAATATTTTTGTTAAAAACTGAACCTAAAAGAAAGAAAAAAAGGCATCATTCAGACTGGACAGACACACACACTCAATTATGTTAAAAAAATTAATGAAGTTTGTACACTCATTCTCTGTAGATCAATTATTCATAGAAAATCCAAACTGAAAAATACGGATGAAATGTTTAGAGACAAATAATTTCTTAAAACTAAAATTAAACTAAAATTAACTGTCTTCTATTTTTTTTTTCAAAGCTAAGAAAATAGAGCCTTCATTCACAGTTGTAGATTTTGTGACTTTTTTAAAAATATGGCCTCGTTGCAAAGCAGACCAAGTCTCCCAGACTACATTAGGAAAAGTAATGCCAGCAAGTGTTCCTGCCAGAAAGGTGTGCCTTCCCTCTAGAAGAGGAGACAAAAGAATAAGCTGAGAGAGCTGAAATTGTTTCATTTAGATAAGAGAAGGCTCAGGAGGATCTTCTCCTTGTGTATAAAAAACTGAGCAAGCTGTCTTACTTGATGTGACTTCAAAGAGGGAAGTTGGACTAAGTGATATTCAAGGGATCCCCCCAAACTCAACCATTGTAGAGATGCTATCTTCCAAATACAGTTGTGAGTTAAAAATGTATTTGCAATTACATTATAATGAGGACTTGCAAGTTTTCTGTGTACCATGAGATGATAGTGGACATCACAAAATTCTTTGATTATATTTCCCAAGAGACATAAAATATATTAACTGTATGTATGTATATGTGTGTCTGTGTGTGTGTGTGTGTGTGTGTGTAATTATAGATGTGCAACAGGATGAGTAGAGAATAAAATATTAGCAATGTTATTTGTACACAAAATTTGTGTACAAAACAAATGGGCAGTCAGATAATGTTAGGACCATTGAACTTCACATTCAAAAGAAAAGCAAATTAAATAACATATTTTAAAGGCAGAGCAGGTCACTAAGACACCACAGACAAATTTTATTTTTTGCTTGCAAAGTTCAAGATCAACATCATAATTTATTTGTTTGACATCCCAATAGGGTTTTTGTTGGGGGAATTCTTCAAGATAATGCATTATGTGTACTCTACAGCAATATCTGCAGTACAGTTTTCTGAGCTAGACCTTTGTATTCTGCAAAATAGTAGCAATCCATTAACATCAAGTGATATGTTGCATACACGCAGAGTTCTACACTGAAGAACAAAATAGTGGACTAGTGACATGAGATTTCTTATTTTGCACTTTTTAGAGAAGACCCTGTGTATTTTAAGTGTGGCCTATTTAATGTACTCTTCTGGAAGTTAAAAATATAAAGGATTTTTGGAGAAAAAATTATCTAGATCTTACTCTAAAACACAAAGATATGGGGAAATTGTTTAAAGGAGCGCTGCTCAACTTCTCTGATTGCAGAACAATATAAACAACCCCAAAGGCAGAAGTTCAGACTTCCTAAACATGAGAACTCTTGTTAAAAGTGGACTAAGCTTCTTTAGGCTTTATCTTTCTCTCTATTTATAAACTAGTAGCAGATTAATCCTGTCTTTTTCATGTGTTTATCATCTTTTATCATTGTGCCCCACACTGGCCTGTTGAAACCTGCAGTCTGGGACTTGACCAGGGTGGTGGCATGAAATCATTTACAGGTTCTTCTTAAGGTTTGGATACCTACTCTGAAGACCAAGTAGCTTATCCTATAAGACATTTTGTGTATTAAAAAAAGATGAAATTTAATTATCATCAGTGTATTGTTTTTATACACCATCATAGCTACTAATAAATTGCTAATAAATTAATGAAACCTGATTTATATTGACGATAAAAAGGAATACTCAGGAACAATATTGAATTAATTTCAAAACCAATATTCACACAATTTCTACTTGGTAGAAGCTCATCAGCCAAATTTCTAATACAGTTGATACTTGCTAGAAATTTATCCTACAGTCTCCATTTTATGTCTTTACATGGGTGTCTAGCTGCAAAAAGCTGCATTTCAAACTGGCTTACACATTAGTTATAGATAATTTGAAATAAATATTTTTGATCCCTTCAAGGTGAAAGCTGCAACTTAACAAGTTTTTGGGTTTTTTTTTTTTGCTTTGAGTTTTTTTAATGTGTATGACAACAGATATTTGGGATTTGTAATTTAATATTCATTGAACAAAGTGTGTTGATATATATTTCCCAAAGAGATTTGAATAACATTTTAAAAGTTCCAACATTAAAATGTTCCAACATTTCAGGTATATTGCTTGCACCTGAAAGCATGCCACTGAAGATTTACAAATTGCCTGTGAAAGGAAATTTGGAATAATTGTATTTAAGTAACAGGAAAATTCTATCTCACACTGCAAAAATTAAAGATTGTGCTATGCTGCATGTATAACTTAGGTTGTAGAATAGATATTTTGTTATTTTTTTAATTATTCAAACTATGGATTACATATAATTTATTTTAAATGGCTTCTACAGATTCATACTCAAACCATAAAGCTGTTCATACATTTATAATACATGTGCAGAAGATTAGAAAGAGTTTAGAGCTTAGGTCCATGGGCTTTGTTGTATTAAAGAAGGGGAACATTTTATCTGTAGCCATATGGCAGTATACAGCAGTATGAATTATTCCATTCTGCTTCAGTGAACAAAAAAGTATTGATCTACCTGGAAACAAACCACTGCAGTTCACCTCTGTTTTTCCTGCAGATCACCTCTGACAGAACTGTCCAGCATTCAAATAGTCTTTTTTTTTTTTTCTTTAATAATGCATTTATTAAAGATCAGGCTGAAAACACATATAAAACACATATAAAAAAGCATGCATACTTTGTTTTGTATCTACACCACTGAATGAATACTTTAGGATTATTGTTTCCTTCACATGGGAGCTTGACAGTCAAGAGCAAACTTGCAGCAGAGGAAGAGGACTGAAATATGTCTGCAGTGAAGTTGTTCAAAATCTCCATCAAAATCAAAAATGTTTGAAGTTTGTGACACAAAATCAGTGCTTCCCAAGAGAAAGTAATGGACAAAGGCAAAAAGCAGATTAAATTTACTCAGGAAGAAGCACTTTGAGAAAGCCATTTCCACCGAGTCACTGTGGATCCAAAAGCCACATGCCAGAACACAGAGCCAAACATCAGCTATGCAGAAAAGGGCCAGGAAAATAATCTATAATTAGTTCCCAAACACAGTGCAGATCACAGTTAACCACTCCTGAAATCAACTGACTATTCCACACTATTGCAAAAGGATTTTTAACGAACACCTGAAACAAAAAAGACACAGACAGGTATAAAGAAAGATTCTAATCTGTGGTAGCAGCTTGTATCATGAAGATTATCTTAAACTGTAGCAGAAAGTGGGACTTCGTCCTTTTTATTTGTTGCCCTGGATGCATTCGTCCCTGAGGGAAACAGGAAAGCATTCATGCCAAATCTGGAAGCAAAGCATGCTTGTGCATAAAACATGAGCCAAACAATTCAACAAGAAGACAACCTTTTTGCCAGCTTTTTCAAGTCTTGTTGGCAGGGTCAAGATCTGCAGAATGTAAGTTACTGCCTTTATTTTACTTTGTGTTATTAATCTGAGATTTAAAATATATTGTATACTTTCTCATATGTTTCATGGAAACAACTTTAAATTTAAAAAATGCAAGAGAGACTATTTTATTTGTGATATCAACATTGTCACCTTTATCTTATTTTTTCCCAATATAAATATAAGCTATAATAAGAAGTAGTTTTATTTTTTACATATCTGCTTCTGTTCTAATGCACCTATCTAAGCTTTTTGTGTATGAGCTCTGAAATCATCAGAGAACACAGATGTATCATTTAAAGAAATTTGCTCAAGAAGTAATTTTGGTGAGGTGTTGGGGAGCAGCAGAGGAGATTAATAATTTATTTTTCTGCTATGAGATAATTTATTTTTCTCATAGGGAGATGTTGGTTTTCTTCTGTTTCCTGTAAATACTAACATTTTAAACAACATCTATGCAGCTAAAACCACTTTTCATTTGCAATAGAAAACAATGTGTTTATGTGTGCATTTATATACATGGGAGGAAGATGTCTCATACTTCTACTAAACTATATGGAAATCAGAATGATCACCATGTTCCTTATTCACACACAAAGTTTAATGATTTTGAAGTGTGCACCTTTTCCAGATAAGAGGGGAAAGAATGATCATATTTCTGGTGTTGTTTATGTGGCTGTTTCAATGCATGGCCTAGAGCTCATTTGTTAATGACCATGCAAATATGCAGCACATTTGTAAAGAATTAAATTATTCTTCCTCATGCATATTTATGTATGTATGCATATTTTGGAACTCATTAAAGCAGTTTACAAAAGATTCTGTAACAAGCATCCCACTTTCAGCATTGTCTTGGAAATACATTTGGTAAGGGCAAAATTCAGGAATATACTTATACATTCCTGGCTTTAAACATCTAAACAATCCCTTTCATTTCCCATCACACACTTGATAAGATCCTCAAAATCAGACTTGGAGTTAGGTGCATTTCTGGATCCTTGCATAGAGAGAACCAAGTTCTGCCACTTCATAAAAGTGAAGCTTCATATTACAGAATGTAGGTAAAGCATTGCGAGTTAGCCCTTAGCTAAGCGCCCACACTGCTGCTCACTCAACCACCACAACCCCAGTGGGATGGGGGACAAAACAAGAAGAGTAATCATGAGAAAACTTTAGTTGCAACAAAAACAGATTAATAGTGAAGGAAAGAGAAAAAAAACAAGTTATGCAAAGGCAAGCACTCCCCACCTCATGCAGACAGATACCCTGCCAATTTCTGAAAAAGGGCCGCCTTGGCTGAAACTCCTCTCTCCTTATTCCTCTGTCCATTCTTATTCCTGAGCATGACATTATAGGGTGTGTTATATCACTTCATTCAGCAGGAGTCAGCTGTCCCAGCTTCTTAACCATCCCCAGCCTACCCTCAGTGGGGAAAGTAGCAGAGGGGGAAAATGACAAACATTTATCAACACTGTTTAGCCACAAATCCAAAGCAAAGCACCACATGGGGCTGCTTGGAAGATGATATAGCTAGTTCATAGAGTAATTGCCTGCATTTTACTTTTAAAAAAAAGATTGATTGTAAAAAACAATATCTGCATTCATTATTGTGTAAGAATTATTCATAAATACAGTGACAAACAGTTTGTGTGGTAAAGTATTTTTACTTTCTCTGGTTAACTACTTCCTCTGAAACAAGATTTTCTGAGTTTTCTGAACATTTTTTACAGTAAAACCACCATTTTCTTCACTTCTTTTGCTCAGAAATAGGACAGAGTGGGTGGAACCTTTGTTTTTTAAATACCAAATGTACTCTGTAGTGAGTCTAAGCAGTGACTGAAAAAGCTGCTGTCAAATGGAAAACAAGAATGTAGGAGAAATTCTATTAAGAAATATTCATTATATAAAAACTAAATATGTAGTCCTTCCATTTCAGTTGTTTGAAGAAAGTAAAATATTATTATATATTAATATATTATATATTGTATGTTATATGTTATATATATATTAATATCAGTGGGATCACAGCCCATGCTTCTGCAGAGTCTTCAGGTGAAGCTGGTGCTGTCAGACACCGGAGAGCTTTGCAGTTCATGTGTGCATATCTACTTGCCAACCTTGTGTTAGGGTGATGGACAAAAGATGGCTTCTATAAACTGCCGAGGAAAAAAACTCCGTTGTTCCATCCTGCATGCTCCATCAGGTAAGTATAAACTCATGCAGAAAGGAATTTCTTAAGAATTCCGTTTCCAAAAAAAATTATTAAAAGTAAGCACAGAAGGAACTAAACATATCCTACACTGCAGGAAAGAGTAAGCCATTAGAACATAATTGTCTATTTTTTCTTTTCACAGAAATTTTATAAAGTCAAGCATCTCATACAAAAGTGACAAGGAATTCAACAAGGGCAGGACAGTAACCAAGTGTGTGAAAGAGAAAGGATGTTGTTGACACAATAAAAATGGATGAAAGGTGGAGAAGAAAGTTATGAAGATACCATCTGTTACTTTTTTAGCATAAGAAACATTTTAGGGTATTCTCAATAGTTATAGCTCCTTCTCTGGGAACATAAAAAGGTTGGGTTTTAGTTTGTTATTTTATTTTATTCTTTGTTTTATTTGTTTGTTTCCCTCCCTCCCCACCATTCTTTTTCTGAAACCTTTTTAAAAATAAGTAAAAAAATTAATTGGAAATGAGTACGCTGGAACCACCTCTGGTTCTCATCGATACATTTTTTTTAAGTTGCAGGTTAACTTTTTCAATCAATCTGGATAAATATATTTTTCCATTATTCCAGTTCTTCAAATATATATTTACTATCTATTAATATATCAAATATCTATTTCTGAGACATACAGAATTTCTGAATAGCAGTCTGTGTCTTTATAACAATACAATATAAAATGAGGGAGCAACTGTAACATATATTTAGATTTAGAAAAGAAATATTAAAATTAATTCTGCTTTTATTCATATTTGCAATTTAATCTTTCATAGTTATTGAATGTAGTATTAATCAGGGTAGATAGAACACATAAAGGAAATTATGAAATGCAAGAAGTATCGAAGATGAAAATTATTTTGATATTTAGGCTTATATTCTCATATGTGAATATAGAAGATGAAAATACCTAGTTTGGTATCATAAGGAAAGAAAAAAATGAAAAAAAAAAAGTCTTCAGAAAAGCTGAAAAGAAAAGAAAGGCAAGAGAAATTATATAAAGTAATTGCTGAGAGGACTAAAAATATATATAAAAAATCACTCCTTAAGAAACAAGCAGCTTAAAATCAAAGGATGCTAATGCAAACTGAGGAATGACATGCAATACTAAATTCACATTGGATAACGTCTCAAACACTGAATAGGCCTATGGAAGACCACATGACTAGCTCAAAAATAAAGTGCTATGCAGCATGATCTACAGAGTAGTGATAAATTGTACATAAAAGACAGCACAGAAGAATTTAGTGCATTTCAAAGGTCAGCTTTCAGCACTATTCTCTACAAAGCCCTTGCTAAAATACAGAAACATATGCAGAGCAAGCTGTGTGATTTCCAGCACCATTAGGAAGAAATTCACACCAACCTTACATTTTATTCAAAAAATATTTAGGAACCAAGGAATATCTACTAAAGCTGGTTATCTGACACAGGGTCTCACATAATCCACAGTAATACAATGCTGCAGTTGAATCTCAACTCCTTTACCAAGCTGCTTTGTAAAAATTATAAACTCTTAAATTATGTTTTGAGTCCTCAGATATGTAGTCCTTCTCAGTAATTTTTGCAAAGATATTAACTGAAATTGTCTTTCACAAATTATGAATTAGAATGCCATTAGTGATGAGGTATAATGGTGTCTCAGCCACATGCTGATCAAAATATTTTCTTCTGTTCTTTCCAAATCATCACCTGATTTAGAGCAGACATTTATATTATTTTTGTTATAATGTAATACTTTATTTCTTATACTTGCTTTCACTTATTTCTATGTAATATTCTTGCACATTTGTAGGACGCCACACATTTTTGCATCATCAACAGATTTATTGTCACATTCCTGCTTTTAATACAAATGTCACAATAATAGAAAGATTAATTCTCCACAGATGCAAAAATTTTATGGCAAATGTTGCACCATACTTACTACTACTCTTTGTTTCTCCTTTGCAATTCATTTTAGATTTTTTTAATCAAAAACATACAAAGTCTTCTAAAAAAACATAATTCACTAAAGTTCATCTAGTTATGCCATGTTTATTTAAATTATGCTTTATTACTACAAGTTTAAATAACTTTTTAAAAAGTATTTCTGCTACATTGTTTTTGGGACTGTCTTGTCACATTTCAAATTACTTTTGAAGGTTAAAGTAACATTTTTTATCATTATAAAAATTGGATGAGTGGTTCAGTGTTCCTCAGTAGCCTAAATATTCTAAAAGATTATTTCTAGTAATGTTAAAACATAAGAATGAAGAAATGTTAATAGAAATAGCTAGGCTCTCTTAAGTTAGTGATAAATTCAAAAGAAACAAAAATACCTCTAACTGATATTACTATTTAAGAAAATAAATATTACTATTTAAGAAAAAAGACAAATTATGGTACAGCTAGTCTCCAAGGAGCAGCCTAGTTTTCTTGCATTATTGCAGTTCTTTTGCAGAGAGAAATAAAGTGAAATCAGCCTTTGTTGTTAACTTTGGCAACTTCTTTACTCAGCCTATTTAAATAAAAGTAATATACACAAAGAGAAAGATAATTAAGATAAACTACCCTAAAGTTAACAACACTGTCTAGATGTTTAAAACTTTTGATTACCTTTGAAACAAACAAAAAAAAAATTATCAGATCCTTTAGAACCTCTCTAATTAAAAGACTCTCATCAAATCTTATTATTCCCATTAATACTCATAGTAGCAAAGGGACCTGATGAATATCACAGCATCACAGAATGACAATGGCTCAGGTTGGAAGGGATCACAGTGGAGCATCTGGTCCAACCTCCCTGCTCAGCCAGGGTCATCCCAGAGCACATGGCACAGGATTGTGCCCAGGGGTTCTCAAATATCTCTGGTGACGGAGACTCCACAGCCTCTCTGGCCAATCTATTCCAGTGTTTGGTCACCTGCACATTTAGATAGCACTTCCTGTGCATCAGTTTCTGCCCCTTGACTCTTATCCTGCTGCTTTGGTACCACTGAGCAGAGCCTGGCTCCATCCTCTTGACACCTTCCCTTCAGATACTGACAGACATTGATGAAGTTTCCTCTCTGTCATATCTTCCTGAGACTGAGCAGGCCCAGTTTTAATCTTTAAGGTTGTATTTTTCTTTTGAAATGCCTTGTTATATTTTTTTCCCTTTTTAACTCTGTTGGAAACATGATTCAAAAACTACTGCAAAATTGAAGTACCGAATTTCTCTTTATAACAACAGATATGATAAAAGTGCCAAAATCATAAATACACCACATTTCTCAGTAGTCTAACATTCAATGCCAGTGTGATTGTGTTTTGTCTGACAGAAAGAAAGGCAGCTCAGATCTCATGTAAGTTTTACTCTCCCAAATATCCCATGCTGAGCATCACTTCATTCAGTACAATCTTAGATCAGTATTGCTCTTCTTGTTGACTTCTTGTTTCAGTTTATACCTGTTGTGTTTCACCCTGACAACATTCACCACTATGAAGTGACTTGCCTGAACTTGCTGTAGTTCATAAGATTTTGCCATCTGTCAGAGGACCTAAAATAGATCCCTGTCACTAGATGAAGTTTTACAGAAGGCAAAGAACATTCATTTCTCTGGACCTCCTACATGTCCTCCTGTTTTTACACATCAGGAGGTTCTTGGCCTGTTTTGCTGCCACGACAAGATGTTGTCTTTTGCCCAGTTTGCCATTTACCAGCAACCCTAACCACACGCACACCTCTAATTCTTCCTGTTTCCCAGGTCTGAGAGGTTGGAGAAAATTATTACTGGCTCAAAGCAATGGAAGTGAGGGTGAGGGGTGGTGAGGGAAGGCAGTGCAAGTTCTGTGAAGAGTGGGATGTGCTCTACCCCCCACCCCCTGGAGTGCAGCCCGGAATGGCACACCTGAGGCCCCACCTGGAGGGGAACACCTGGGAGACCCAAGCAGATAAAAGCAGTTGCACAAGGACACACATGCTCATGGCCCACTGTTTTGGATTTGATAGGAGCTGAGAACATGCTGGAATTCGAGCAGTAGATAATAATTTTGTCCATATCTGCTGTGGTCGGTGCCAGGAGCCCTGCCCTGTGCCATAACGCTTTCATGGCTGAGCACGCTGCCTTCATCAGGGTTCCCAGCCCTCTCCAGGCTCCTGTTCTCCAGGCCTGCACCCATCTAACCTGCTCCCTACCACCAGCTCCCAGCCACTACCAGGGCTCAGCTGAAAGCAAACTTTTGAAGCACCCTTTTTTCAGGAGTAGCTGAAAGTTGTCATTCAAAACCAGAATTTTTGAGAAGTAAAAGCCTGTGATATCTTCACTTCTGCAGCAACAGCAGGCAGCCCCCCTTAGCCCCAAGTTTCCTAGAAGAGTCATTCCCTATGTGCCTCACCCTTGTACAGGTTATCTTGCTATGTGATTATTTTTTTAGGTGAAATTTTTCTTTTACCCAGGTTTTAGGGTCTAAATACAGATTCTCTGATCTTTGCTTCTCTTTACTTGAAAGGAAAACTGTGTGACAAAAACATTCACTGTAAAACAGAGTACAGTCCATTTGTGGTTAACATAGCCCCAGCAGGATTTTCACCACCAGAAATCTCACTGCACATTGCTTTGATGTGTCTTTCACTGCAAACTGACATATCCTATGACAGTAAATGCCTCTTTCTAATTGAATTAAGAAGTATACATTAAAAAAATACAATTATGCCAATTCTATAAAATCAACACTTAAAACAGAGTGAAAAATGAAATTAAGTTACATAGCAGTTTTACTGAGGGAAAAACAAAGTGACAGAGGTTCTTGCCAAAACATTGCAACAGCACAATGCTTGGAGACTTTCATCAAAAAATCCCTAAACCTTCAGTCTGTTTAATCATTTTGTAAAAAATTCTGTAACAGACTGAAGGGGTGTGCGGGAATTAGGAAGGAGGCTTTAGTGAAGCATAAATTGCAAATTACTTTCTAAGTAGGAAGATCTAATTCTATTAAGTAACAGCACAGTTTTATATACCATCAGTGAGCTGAAATGTGAGATAGTGCTTCATTTTGGGAAATGCATTTCACAGAAATGTGTGCAATTACAGGCAAGCAAAACATCATCAAAAACCCTAAGACTGGGCAAAACAAAGGGTCTCAATGGAAAAATTGAACTCTCCACCAGAAGAGACTTAAAACTGTAAGAAACACTAAAGAACACATACGCCTAATCAGAGTCTGAAAAATAAATGTAAGCTAATGAAGATACAAATTTTCACTATCTCACTAGGAAAAAAATTAAA